CACTCAAATCATGACATTTTTTTACCATTCAACTACTCACTCCATGTAGAATCAATGCTGACAATATTGTATTAGGTGGTAGAGGCACTTTAATACACTGGAAGACATTGCAGCTTACACCATCTTTAATAACAAACCCCATTTATTTATAATTTATTCAACAGTAATATAAATTTTTTGTGAGGTTTTGGAAAATATTGTCTTTAATTTCCTTTTAAAGTTTCATTCCTTTGCTAAAGAATTGTCAAGGGAATAGTCAAATGTCTTAATAATTTAAGCTTTTAATTGGCAATTACTGTAATTACTGTAATCATTGAACCATATGATATGAAGTCTGGAATTTTAGTTGTCAGCCTACAACCTGTTCAAAAAATAAATCAAGTAAGTGACTGACTGCAATAAACAAATAAATGATTAATTAAAATGATAATCCAATTGTAATGATTCTTTTTGTGTTTATTTTTCAATTAAATTTGTCTTTAAGTTTACGTTTTTTCAATTTGGTCATCCCCAGAGTATTACAAATTCTCTGGAGTTCAATATTTCAAACTTGATCTACTTTTTACTTGATAATAATGCCAGGGATATATTATTAATTATTGAATTTGCAATGTTAAGTACAATAATTTCAGACTAATTTGTTTTTAATAATGCCTTTCTGGAATTCATAAAATACCACATTGTTACTTGATTACAAGCACAGGACAGGTGATAATTGTTTCAATGTGTATCAAAATATCCACAGTAAATAAAAAATGCACAACTCACTCCAACAATACAAACACTTCCATTGCAGTGGCAGATCAGGAACAATTTCAAAGGGGTGTGACTGTTACCCAGTAAGGCATCACATAGCATGCTTTTTATGTCTTACCTCCTTTATTCTTATTATTTTTTAACTCCAAAGGGGGGTGAATATTCACCTAATTCCCCCCACCCCCCTCCAATGCATTCACCCTCGCATGCATGGATGTCATTGGAATACAAATATATAAGTACATACACAAAAATCATTAGATATTAACCTTGAGTAACAGAACATAATTGAATCTTAAAAAGCTGTCTGTATTTTTCTGCTTTGTAACCAAAAGACCAGTAGGGTTTAATTTAATGACTATTAAATACTTTTCTCTCTCTCTCTCTTCTTTGTCCTATACAGTGGCATATCAAGCTGTAATCAAAGACAATAAAATGCTCTACTCATTGAAAAACATGAATTACAGCATGCAATGTTCATTTTCCTGGCAGGCTTTCACAGCTGGTCTAAATTCTTTTGTTGTGCATGAATTATTTAGTAATGTGGTCATATAAAATTGCAAATAGTTTCCTTTTAATTGTTGTTACCCTTTTAATATTATTAATGTTGTGGTAAAAAAGCTGCCAAAAAAGGTATGATAAAGCTTCCCTCACAAGCTTACTTGACACTACACTTCTCGTTCATAAATGAAGCTAATGTCAACAGCAGTTTTATAATTAGCATACCTCTAGTTGGGAGTCGTGTCATTACAGTCTTGTGCGTGATATATCCCTTTCAAAATCATATTGGTTGCAAGGATAAAATGGAAAAACAAAATAATGGCACCATTGTAAATTCAGTTATGAAAAGCAGAGATTTAAATTGATTTTTTGACCTTAGAATTCTCTCAAGGCTAACAGCTGATATCTAATCGAAGTTTTTATTGCATCTTTGTCTTGGATTGGTTGCAATGTTGCATATTCCCGCCACTGGCAGGTTTCATTTTTATTTTTTAAATTTCCCTGGTAGGTGGAGGGATGGGAAATGATACTTGGGATGTTCCAATCATTACGCTGCACTAAATATATATTAGTCATATACTATATAGTGTTAATTAAATGAATTTTTGATTCAAAACATTTCCTGTATTACAGACGACGTCACTTATAGCAAGAGTGTTGACGTCATATCATTATGTCATCAGGAGCTAAACTTTGTATGATGCTTGTAATTTAGGGCATTTAATGATCCAAAAAATGTTCCCTCCAAGTTATACTTTGCTTGCGAAAAAATGGCTACCGTGTTCTGCTACTCTGGGCTGA